CCAGCACAGAAAGTACTTATAAAACCACATTAAATATCAATCAATGTTTCGAAATTTTGTTAGCTTACATGCATTTTGAAAACTTACTCAGAAAAAAATGACTCATGGAACGCACAAATTTGATTTCACATTAATTAGTCTGGGAAAAACTTAAGTTTATATCCAAGCTGTTCAATCAGAATATATACTGCATCAGGATACAGATCTGTGTGACTAATACATAACATTTGCTTATGTTTTATATCGTGAGATGCAAATAACTACAGTAATGCTTTACTTTTCATCCCATTCATTTGATCATTTATACTTTTTGAAATGACAAGGAGATTTAAAAGCATTGATCTGCCACTAGATTGCTATATTTTGTATAATGTCAGCAAATATGCTCCAGGTATGTCTTCCTGATATATGGGGCCCTAAGGAACGCTGAACTGCTTTCGTAATTGAAATATATGCATATAAATATGAATCATAAATCCACTAAATTAGATTGTGAGGCCCTGTTTAAACATAAACTTTAATGTTTAAAAGCCTTGGTGTTTTATAATCCAATCAAGCCTACTTGTCTTTTTAATTTATTTTTTGTTTCTTGAGAAAGGTTTCTAAATAGCTATGTTGGTCAAATCAAGATCTGCCATTTTTAATAATATTTTAATGTATCAATTCAAAACTGCAATATGACAAACAATCAAGCTGTATACAAGAATAATGCATCAGTCAGGAGTGTAAATGTATGCACTTTTGCATCAAAAAATTCAGCACAGGTTTTTTTGGTTAAATAAAGCACAGCAATGCAAAAATATATCAGAAACAATATCAAATGTTTTTGTTTATGCTGTTTCATTTAATGTATGAATAAAACTTTAGTTAAAAAAAATGTAGGTTGTACAACTCAGTTTTCCTTGATGGTTCTTCTTTACTACTAGTTATAGCACAAAATAAAGATGAATGAGCATGATATCTGTCAGTCTGTCAGTCAACTGTGAAAAGATTATGAACTGTGGAGTTTGTAAACAATATGTTTCCATTTACCTATTATTATGTGCATTTTGGAAATGCTTATAAAAAACAGTTGATAAAAACGCCAAGATATGTTTAAATTTTGAAAATGCACATAACTGAGTAGGATACATTTTTTTATTCAAAAAGGGAAGATGTGCATAAATTATGAAAAAAAAGACTTTTACCGAACAAAGTCCACTATGCACATTAAAAAGGTCATGTGATGATAAACGTGTGTGAGTGGACAAACCAGAAGGCTGAGCACATTGTAAAACATCTGAAATGTTGTTTTGGTCATTCTAAAACACCTTAACCATCTCAGTATTAGGGCTCTATTTGACAATCCAGGCACAAAGTGCAGGGCGCAAAACCATTAAGGGTGTGTCCGAAACCACTTTTGCTATTTTAAGGATGGAAAAATCTGCTTTTGCACCATGGTGCATGGTCTAACAGGGTTCAGCTTATTCTCTTAATGAGTTATACGTGTGTTTTGAGAATAAACCATTCAGAGTCTCATTTCCCTTTCCCTTTAAGAGTCAGTTGTGTTGCGCCATAGCGCATTTGCTATTTACATGGCGTACTTTGTAAGTGGAAAAACTGAATGCTTCACTAGAGAGATAGGGAAACGGGTTGTACGCTCAGACATCCATTACCCTATACATAATTAATTTCGTTTATTAAACGTAAAGATTTGTTTAAAAAATATTTCTAAATTCAGTTCTAATTTCCTGCAAATGAATAAATAAAGTGTGGTCAAAAAAATATCCAAATTAGTTCTATCCATACACATGCCCCATGGTCCAAAACCTGACAGGTGGACAAATTTAAGCTTGTTTTTAATAAAACAAATATAAATATGCATATAATAAATAATACTGCTAATAATGATAACATTATACAAAAGCAAATTGTCATGAATAAACTGTAAAAAGCCCCCCGAGATGAAGAAGGCATGGAGGCGGTGTTTCTTTATATTTATGTAGGCTAGAAAATAATCATTTTTGTAATATTTTAATCCTTTAATTATTTTTCATTTGTTAAGATATTTGCGTATTGCTTTACATCCTGTGTGTATTAAGCAACGTTTAAGTGAGGTGCACAACTAATGCGCTCTGCGCTTGACTTTAGACCTGCTTTGATTAGGTCTATTAAACTCTATTATAGTTCCTCAAAATAGCAATGCGCCAGCAATGCGCCTCAACACGCCTCCTTTTTTAGACCAGAAGCCTCTGGGCGCACATATGAGCGCAAATGCATTTGCTATTCAAACAGTGTGGTGCAAAACGTCACAACGACTCTTGTATCCAGCTGACGTCTTGCGCCACATTGCGCCGGGTGTATGATAGGGCCCTTAGTGTTATTATATTATTAATAATCTGCAGAATCAAGAGTGTCTGTGCTCCGCTTATCGCGTGTTCACTGCATGTTTGGATTTCCTTCTGAGGTGCAAGTCATTTTTTAAATGAAGAAAAGATTCTCGCAGCTTCTCCTACCGCAGCAAATTCCATTTGTACTGTTGATATTTGGCGACAGATAATCAGAAAGTGACGACTTTGTTGATGTTGACTCGTTGGATGGAAATGCTGCTTTATTCACATGTCTTTTATGCGATAATCCAGTTTTGCGCATAAAGTTAATTCGCGTTTTTGGATGGAAACATAGCTAATGTCACATACTATCACTGTTAGCAGTTGTATATCAATGTGGAATAACACTTTGGACTTGGCTGTAATCTTTAATATGCACAAGTTATAGTAATGAATAATTATAATAATTAATAATAATTATAAATTGGAATTATAATTGAATTTAATTAAACACACACAACTACAGTAGTTTTGTGACCTTGTCTACCAAAAATACACTGAAGAGTGACTTCAAAACAGAGGTATACAATGACATCCTTACTATGTTTTTCTGCTTTTCAGTTTATGAGAATGAGTGCTGGGAAAACACACAACATCTTGCTAAAAGCAATATAGCTTCAAAGAAGAAAAGCCTCATTAGCTGCATCTCATACCAAGGTGGCATGTCTTGTTGTTTATCTCATGAGAGCCATTTAAGACTAAACCATTCCCTATATCTGCTCTGGAGCTGTCATATATCAGTGACAAGATCATTCTGACTCATGCCCAACCAACAACACAGAGCAAATGTCAGCTTTAGAGAGCAAATGTTTTCCGAACCAACAAGACCTCATGAAGTCATCTGTACAGTATATCAGAGAGCAGAATCCTGTGATTCATAATGGATCATGTGTTCTTCACATGTTTCATGTCAAGTAAAACACATACTTCCACTTATACATCCACTCATCCCAGAATGTGTGTCTAAATGAAACCTAGTTGTGGTCCAGATGAAACATGACTAATGGACACATTTTCTCCAGCTGCTTTTAAGAGGACACACTTAACTGTATGAGAAAGATGGAAACAATAAAGCCTGCAAATGCATAGTGCCATCTAGGGGTTTTTATGTAGGAGAAATAAAATAAATGATGCCTGGAAGACCTATTGTTAACACACAACACTCATCTTGGGGAATAAAATGGGAATTAGACAGTGAAGATAAAAAACTATAGAAAATACTGATCAGGCTAAATGACAAAATGATCATGTTTTGTGAGATCAAGCTCATGCACATCTTACAGGCTGTCAATACTAGACTAACGTTATCTGAACGTTTTAATTTTTTTAAACAATTATTTATTTTTCACTTATTTATCCATTATGCATTGAAGAATTATACTTAATTATAAGTGCACAATGTAAATAAGTAATTCTAAAAAAAAAGATTTTTGAGAAGATAATGAAATAATTTGTGCCCATCATTTTATAGAATGATGTCCCGCAAATGATTTATATATACAGTACAGTCTTTTTGGTAAAGATCATTAAAAAACGTTTACTAAACCTCATGAAGAGAGTTTCTTAAATAATAATCCTTTTCGCAATATTGCTTAGCAACAGCCCACTGCATACCAAATGAAATCCTTGAATATAAGTGATCCACTTAATAAAGGCTTCATTTATTCACGATCATCTCATAAAGTTCTGAGCTGATTAAATCTAATGCAGTGATGGTCAGAAAATGTGAGCGCTCTATCATCATCAATTTTTTTTAAACTCCTCTGATTATTTTTAGCTCAACAGGCTACCCATATTAAAAACATCAGAAAGCCTAGCTTTAAAATGTATCTATATCCATATGATCGTTATATATATAAAATTTAAAAAGACAATCATTTTTTTACGTCATTAATTAATTTATTCTTCTCACAGAAAAGGTGAATAACTGGGGCGAAATATGCACTTCTCATTATATTATTATAATATAGTTGTATGTAAAATATACAGTTTACAGGAAATATGTGACCTCAGTAGCCAGCAATGATCAATTTGTGCGTCTTTCATGACAAATCCATTTGTTTCCACCTACGCTTAACAATTACTGAAGTCCACAGGTGTTTAGACAAAAAACATTGGGGTTTTAGTAGAACGAATACACATGAACCTATTGTCCCAGATAATAACTTAAAATATAAAAGTATAAAATAATATATATATACGCACAACATGCTGACAAGGCCAAAGGTAAAAGGTGATAGACGGTTGAAAATCTTGGGTAAGATCATACAACTAGTACCGTGTTGTGATTTTATTTTAAATGGTTATGTTTTAAAAGGTAAAAAATATTATTTAATAAAGCTCTGTTCGAGAACAAAAAAACACACAAATCCATAGCGTTTACTTTGGTAAAAATAAGGGAATGACCCGAAGACAATAGGATGGTTAAGCAGCTTCCGATGATGGGAGCTCGTCCTCGTCTCCGTTACTGTGGAAACCAACTTCACATCCAGCTATACACAAATTCCTACCATAAGCCGCACTCAAACTTCAGCACACAAACCACTCATTCTCAATAGCCAAATTCTGCCTTTGTTCAAAAACCAAAAAAGCGATCACATGCATTTGATGTAGAAAAACAAGACAACTTACAGCAGTTAGTTACAGCGAAACTGTTTGCTACTTCCAGATTATCGATGTGAGGCGTCAGTCTAAATTCAGCCGTTCCGAACTGAACCATTCCGATCCGAAACGCGCTGTACTCCTGATCGGCTCCCCTCGGAAACAAGCCTCCTGTACGACACACACAAATACAGCTTATGAATTCTTAGTTCACGTCTATTACAAACGCTAGTTTAACAAAACTAAAAAATTAAATGAATGACGCGCGTACCGATTTGAACACTTGGAGAGCCTCCAGTTGTCATCCCTAATAAGAGGGCTATGAGACAAATCGATAAATTCTTCAACTGTTGCATCTCCTCGACAGTGTGTGTTCAGCCACTGTGTGAAGGAAATAATCTGTCGTTTACAGTATGAGTCAAATCCGTAACATATTGAGGCGTTGCTGAGAATGAGAGCGGCTGCGGTCTGCAGGTGGTTCCTCTATCGCGGACTCCTGCCTCAGTCCCGCTTCTGGAGGAATAATGCAGATTTATCTCTCTCTCTTTCCTTCTCTCTCTCTCTCTCTCTCCTCTCTCTCTCTCCTCCCTCGAGTCGCGCGCCTTTCTGTGAGTTGATACCTTTACTAACATACAGGAGCAACGCAGCTGTCACAGCGGCGACTAATAACGAGACATGAATACAGGCTCAGGAATAAAGGCGCATCAGTTGCACGTGCCACATTCTTAATTGTTTTTGTTTGTTTTGGCTACAGGCATTTTTAGTAGCATATTAGCAGATTTTGTTAGTAGCACTTTAAAATAATGTACAGTTTGTTGACTAATTACATTAGTTATTTAATAAAAGTACCACCAATAAAAATACTTCTAAACGTTTTTAGATTCGTTTAAATACGTTGTAGTATTTAAAATTTACTAATGCGTTATTAAATACAGTAAAAATATAGTATTTTTTAAAATTACAAGCACAACTGTTTTCCAAAATATCTGCATTTTAAATTCATTTAGACAAATTAAACCATGGTGGCATGGTCGCTCAGTGGGACTGTTGCCTCACAGCAAGAAGGTCACTGGTCACAACTGGCTGGGCCAGTTGTCATTTCTCTGTGGAGTTTGCATGTTCTCCTTGTGTACTTGTGGGTTTCCTTCAGGTACTTCGGTTTCCCTCACAGTCCAAAGACATGCTCAATAGGTGAATTGAATAAGCTGACTTGGCTGGACACTACCTGTCAAAAGTCTTGTCGTTGATCCAAGTTAAGAGCATCAAATAATAATTTGAATAATAACTTCTAGTTAGATTATAGGTAGATTTTACTGATTAATCATCTGTTGGGCTTTATCCCAATCATCACAAATAACTGCAGAAGACCTATTGGATCCTGCATGGACCCAAGATTCTGATAGAAATCAGTCAAGCTTGGTGAAGGAAAAATTATGGTTTGGGTTTACATTCAGTATGGGGATGTGCAAGAAATCTGCAGAGTGGATGGCAACATCAACAGCCTGAGGCATCAAGACATTTGTGCTGCCAATCACATTACAAACCTCAGGAGAGGGCAAATTCTTCAGCAGGATAACACTTCTTCTCATATTTCAGCTTCTACGTTAAAGTTCCTGAAAGCAAAAATGGTCAAGGTGTCCCATGCTAGTCACCAGACATGAACATTATCGAGCATGTCTGGGGTAAGATGAAGGAGGAGGCATTGAAGATGAATCCAAGTAATCTTGATAAACTCTGGGAGTCCTGCAAGAATGCTTTCTTTTACCTTCCAGGTGACTTTATTATTAAGTTATTTGAGTCATTGCAGAGATGTATGGATGCAGTCTTCCAAGCTCATAGGAGTCATACACAATATTCATTATTTTCCCACTGCACCATGACTTTATAATCCGCACTAATTCTGTTGTGACACGACTTTTGTCAAAGTCACACCTTACTGTCCTAAATAAATAATTCCAAATCAAGGCATAATTATATCTTACTTTGGTAAAATAAGTGTAATTTAGAGCCTTTTGCCTTTCATATAAGCCACTTCTGATACCAAATGATCCACCAGAAGTCAAGATATTATTTGCTGTTCCTAAAACTTGGATAGGCGTCAAGACTTTTGTCAGGTAGTGTATGAGTGAATGTGTGAATGTGAGAGTAGGTATTTCCCAGTACTGGGTTGAGGCTGGAAATGCATTATCTGTGTAAAAATATGCTTTAATTGGCATTTGATGCTGCTAATGGATGGATGAATGAATGCAATTAAACTATTTAGAATTTTTTTAATTCAGAAACTGAAACCACAATACAAAACATATCCATGATATTCTTGTTAATGACATTCAACATGTATTTTTACACTCTTAATATATACTGTAGATAGAAGAAAGAAAGACAGAAAGAAAGAAAGACAGAAAGAAAGAAAAAAAGAAAGAAAGAAAGAAAGAAAGAAAGAAAGAAAATCAGCAAGCACGCACCAGTTTCAAATTAACAGCTTCAGATTTTTTTTTTATCCAAGATTCAAATTATGAAGGAACAGCTCTAGCAGATATGATATTCTAGTTCATTTCCTCTCTTAAGTGCAATGACTTAATAAATGAGAAGAGGCGATCATAAATGAATGAATATTTTATACTAATTCAAAAACCTCTAAATTGTAGCGTTTGTTACACTTCTTATAGGCTAAATATAGAGTGTATTTGATGAGTGCTACATATGCATTCCCTCTAATTGCTGTGAGCCCCACTGGAGTTCCACTGCTCCCGACTACAAGTACCGGCCACTCAAATACTCTGCATCTGACGTATTGACCACTTCTTTGATGTAGGATGCATTGCTTTCAGGACCATGGACAGGTCCCTCTCACTTTCTAAAAACAAGTGACGTTTTTAGATGAGCTCATCACCATTTCTCTGGATTTCCACATGTATGATGAAAGTAAAAGCAATTAAAATTTTATGAACACTTTGTTTTTCACAGCCTTTGAACAACCTCCTGTGAGACTCATCTTTTTTCACACTATTTGTGCACTCATATGTGTGGAATAGTTTGCATGACATTTAATACACCTGCCTCCACAAATAACTGTAAGGTATACTTCTAGGTTTTCAGGTGCACATCACAGGCCACATTCTCCAAATCCCAAAATACAGTCTCTGATGAAAGACTTCTTGCACTGCTCTGTATATAATGACAATGAATCTAATACCACTTGCAGATATGCGATTGCATTTTGGAAATGTTCTGTTTCCTCTCATCCCTTCGGCACAGACCACAAGCAATCATCATCTCTTACAGCTCCCCAACCTCCACGTCCCAGTTTCATTCCCCTCGGCCCATGCTCCATACTGCATGAGCTGCTATAACAAGATGCCAGGCTGGAAGGTCTTTCAGAGTTAAATTGCAAATATCCAAATCGAGCTCACTGAAGTGATAAATGGAAAATTAAATATTTCATGATGAAAAAATGACAGTGTGTTTTTTTCTAAAGAAAGGTGAGGATAACCAAAACCCACTTTTAATCATTCAGGCTCAGGTAACACTAACTTCTTATCACTTCACAAACATATTTTGACTCCAATCAGAAGGTGAAAATTCCCAGGAGGAGCTTAAAATGAATTACCGTAATTTCATATTCTGAATACTGATACTAATGAAACATTTGGTTTTGAGTAGACGTGTGCAAGTAATTGTCATGTAAAAGAGCCAGGTTTATCAAACAGGGACAATTAGCATGAAAGTGTGATCCTATAAGAAATGCAAATAGGATTGTGAAGATCTGTGAACGATCTACAGACAGAACCCAAGTTAAAAGATGCAGCAGCTCATTTCTATTATGATCAATACAATCTATCAAAAGCAGCACACATGAAAAATAATAAGGCTTCGCAAATTAAATGTCTGGCTAATATTTGGAATTATGCTGGAACAGTTGGCGGTTCATTCTGCTATGGTGACTCCTGATAAATAAGGCACTAGGCCAAAAGAAAATTAAAGAAATAATAACCTATCTCTTGTTTGTTTTTTGTTGTTGTTTTTCACACTGTTCTTTTGTGAGGAGTGGCACGGTGGCTCAGTGGTTAGCACTAACAAGAAGGTCACTGGTTTGAGTCCCGGCTGGGCCGGTTAGTATTTTTGTATGGAGTTTACTTGTTTTTCCCGGGTTTGCCTGGGTTTCCTCCCGGTACACCAAAAGACATGCACTATAAGTGAATCGAGAAAACTAATTTGGCCGTATGTGAGAGTATGTGTGAATGAGCATATATGGGTGTTTCCCAGTACTGGCTTGTGGGTTAAAGGGCATCCGCTGTGTAAAACATATGGAATAATTGGAATAGTGGAATAGATTGGAATATGGAATTGGAGTATGGAATAGTTGGCAGTTCATTCCTCTGTGGCAAGAAAATGAATGAATGAATGAATGTTCTTTTGCGATCCCCCTTCAGCAAATTAAACTGACCACATATGCAAACTATAGCAAATCTTAAGTTCTTAATGGCATGTTTAAATGCTTATCAAAGATGTCACTCTTTCTTTCCTATGTGCACAATGTTAGAAATTACATGGAACAAGGTATGACTTGACTTAATACTGTTGCCAATATTTCTATAAATAACAGCATATAAGAACAAGGCCATACTAAACCTAATCCCCGACACTTTAGCTAAGGAAATAAGCCAAACACCAACATGGAGTGATCTGCACCTTCCTACTATACCTCATTAAAATCCATCAACTTAAACCCAAAGATGATTATTAAGTGTTGCTTATATTAAGTGCACATGGCAACTCTTCAAGTGTGCAGCTTTCCAAACATAAACAAAAGGCGATGAATAGGAGTGAAAAGCCCTTCAAACAAAGATTTTTCAGGACCACACTCGAGACCAAAGGGGTAAGAAAATTTCCCAGAATACACCAGCCACAACGACAGTATAGTCACACCTGGAACTAAGGAGAGCCACAAATTAGTATATATTTTGCCATTATTACAAATTTCTACAACAAACAAACATGTTTTAATAAATTCATAACAGTGTTTGTGTTTTACTGTCATGCTTTAAAAAAAAAGTGCTTAAAATAAAAACTGCTAAATTTTGCGATTTATAATCCATAATCGTAACTCTTGTACAGCAGTCCCACAACATTCTGACACTATGTGACACTAGAATACCCTGTCAGAAAAGTCTAGTGTCTGGGAATGGGCTTTTTACGGTGTCTGCTATAATGTTAATGTTGTTTTTATTGCGTACATTGATGAATATGGCCACTGTGTTAAATGCACAGTGATACAATCTTATTGTCACATTAGATCATTATGATAACATAATATATGCCTTCAGTCATTTCCGAAAGAGAAATACTAAAAAAAATAAAGCAGCTAGAATAACTGCAGCAGTCGCGATCGTCTGATCTCATATGAAGCAAGAGCTTGTGATGACATATGATGACATGTGCAGGTGCTGTAGTGCTGTCTCAATTCTTAGGAGTACATTTTAAAGCCTTTCCCATTCACACTCGGTTT